GGGGCCTTAACTTTTATTTATTTTTTAATTATTTATTTGAAATCTATATTTTAGCTTTTCTTATATACAAAGTTATTAATAATTTTCTTATAATCAATAACTCCTAATAAGTATTTCTCAATTGACAATATAACTAATCTATTTAATCTTTCTTGTGCCATTGCTGTTCTTAGATAAGATTTTATCAATTTGAATTTTGAAAACTTCTTGCCGTTGAAGCAACGGTAACATGAGTTAGTAAAAACTATTCCATAAGCAATTTAGGCATTTGAAAAATAATTAAATCTTTTTTTTTATTTAAGTGTATCAATTATACTGTTATCTTCTAATTGTACTATTTTCCTTAATACTTTTAATTTAGAAAATAAATCTAAACCATCAATATCGAATTGATTATTACGTTTTAAGGAACATTCACGATTAAGGCAATATATTTTCAAATTTTCAACATCTAGTGATCATAGTTTTTACTGTTAAATAAAAAACCAAAAATATTTTCATATGCTTCGAATTGTCCAAATCTATTTTGAAGTGAAAAAATAGCCTTGTCTACTATGTATAAAAGTAATCAACTCTAAAAGACTCTTTGAAAGATTTTGAGATTTCATTATCAATATTTGTGTCAAATTGTTACTTCCTATATATCACACATTTCTTACGAAATTCGGGTTCGATATTCATTTCAAGTGCAATTTTCTTGGTAGAAAGAAATCTGTCACGACCCCGATTCGCCCTCCGTGAACTATCGTGACGGCACCTAGTCTCTACGACTAGGTAAGCCTAACAAATGCGGAAAAATAAACGAAACATGCGAAAGAAATAATCAAAAGCCAAAAAATAACCGAATGAAACAATATTTAAAATGTCGCTTGGCATATACAATACAACTTCTCAGAATCTAATACACTATTCCAAAACCCGGAAACTCATGGAAACACAAGCCTTTGGAATATCTAACAGTCTAACTCCAGAATATCTAACAAGAAAGAAAAATAGAGAAGGGCAATGTTTAACAACTAGAATAAAAAAGGACTCATCGGTCTGCGGACGCGGCAGACGTACCTCGAAATCTCTAGAGCAGTCGCCTCCCTCAAGGATGGTAGGCCTGAGTAGCGGTACCTGGATCTGCACATGAAAAACATGCGCAGAAAGGGCATGAATACACCACAGCGGTACTCAGTAAGTGCCAAGCCTAACCTCGGTTGGGTAGTGACGAGGAAGGTCAGGGCCCTACTGAGGTTAAATAAAATATAAAGATCAACAGTATAGAACAAAGTAGTATAAATAAGTACATCAGTAAAATAACACAGGATGTATAGGACAACAACAACTATACAGAAACAAGGTAAACACGGAAAGAAAATACAGCTCAGCACCAATAATAACGATCGGGGATCTCCCAGGATACCATCTTGTAGTCCTTGTGTACATATCCAATGGATCTCTCGGGATCCCGTCCCGTAGTCCAACTCATAGTGCGCGAGGATCTACCGGAATTCCGTTCCGTAGTCCCAAATATAAATACCCAGTATTGGGGGAATTTACCGGGTGCATTCCCATAGTTTCATATAACTGTGCAGGGGGGTCTACCGGAATTCCACTTCCGTAGTCCCAAAATAAATACACAGCAGCAACAGGAAAATATACAGAAATGACAAAATTTCATATTAAGGCAACAAATAATTCTAGCCTAGCATGCTGCACGGAATTCAGGTAAGGCGGGTTGAACAAATAAAGCAATTAAGTCACTTAGACATACTTTCCTAAGCTAACAACAGGCTTAATAATGAAAGTAATAGAAATAGGAAAGGAAACATACTAGTAATTACTTAAAGAAAACCGAATTTTCAACAATTAGCACAAGTACGCACTCGTCACCTCACGTACAAGGCATTTCAATTACTAAATATACCAATCCTAAGGGGAAGGTCCCCCACACAAGGTTAGACAAGTCACTTACCTCGAACCGGCTCAAAATCAACCCGAGATCACGTTCTTGCTACGAGTACTCGACTCCAAATGGCCCAAATCTATTCAATTCAATTGCATAATGTAAATAACACTTCAAGTAACTGATTCTACAATTAAATTCTAAGCTAATACGCGAAATTATGTAAAATGACCAAAATGCCCATCGGGCCCACGTCTCGGAATCGGGTAAATTTTATATTTTCAGAATCCTCGCACTCTCACGGGTTCAGTCATATCAAAAGTATCAAAATCGAACCTCAATTTGTCCCTCAAATCATCACTCAAAGGTCTTCAATTAGACAATCCCTAACCCCTCGATTACCACTGATTTTCCTTAATTTTTCATGCTTAAATTGATAAAAATCATCTCAATAACGAGTTTAGGGATCAAAGACCTTACCCCAATGAACTCCTCTGAAAATCCCTCTTGAAAAGTGCTCCCAAAGCTTTTTCCCGTTTTGAAAAAGATGAAAATGGCCAAATTTCGCAAAGGCAAGAATTTATATGTTCTGCCCAGCGATTTTCGCATTTGCGGCCCTGGGACCGCATCTGCGAGCCAAGGTCGCACCTACAACTTTTTACTTAATGGTTGACTTCCGCACCTACGGTCTCCAACTCGCAGATGCGGTACCGCTTCTGCGATAATTCTCCCGCATCTGCGGAAACTGCTGACCTCCTTTAATTCCGCTTTTGCGGTCTCTTTACCGCTTCTGCGGCGCCGCACCTGCTGGACCGCAAGTGCGGTTATGACAGAACCAGCAGCTGAAGCTGCAACTTTAACTCCAAAATCTTTCCGTCAACCATCCGAATTCACCTCGAGGCCTTCGGGACCTCAACCAAAGGCACCAACAAGTCGCAAACCACTATCCAAACTTGTATCAATCCTTAAAAACACCTAAAACAACATCGAAACCTCGAATTAACCATGGATTGAAGCCTAAGAACTCCAAAATTCTCAAAATACGATTTCGATCAAAAAGTCTATCAAAACTTGTCCGAATGACCTGAAATTTTGCACACACGCCACATTCAACACTACGGGGCTACTCCAACTTCCGAATTTCATTCCGACCCTCGGATCAAAATCTCACTATCGGACCGGAAACTTCAAAAATTCAACTTTCGGCATTTAAAGCCTAAATTAACTATGGACCTCCAAAACATAATCCGAACACGCTCCTAAACCCGAAATCACCCAACGGAGCTAACGGAATCATCGGATTTCCTTTCCGAGGCCGTCTTCACACTGTTCCGACTACGGAAAACTTTCCAACACTTAAGCTCTCATTTAGGGACTAAGTGTCCCAAAGTTCCCCGAAACTCAAAACCGAATATCCCGACAAATCAAAATAGCAGAAATAAACTTGAGGAAAACAGCTAATAGGGGATTGAGGCGTTAATTCTTAGGAAGACCGGCCGGGTCGTCACAAAATCAAATGTTTTCACTGTTCAAAACTCTTTTTTAAACTTATACATAGTCTATTAGGTGTAACAAAAAATGGGACCCCCGCAAATACGGGGCCTAAAGCGGTTGCTTTATTTGCTTTATGGAAGGGCCGACTCTGTGTGGTAGTTTTCAACGAAAGCAGAATAAATTTTTTTAAAAAAAAAAACATAATACTTAGAATATATTGTAGTAAACATGATTTCAACGAGGGTGACATATTTTTCGTTGTTTGGCAGCTAAAATAGTAAAGTAAGCATAAATTTATAACGTTCAACATGTTCCTACAAAGTATATAAATTAAACTTTTCTTTTTAAAAAATTATCTTAGGAAGGATGGTTAAGCTAAGCAAGGAGAACTGATACTTTGCTTATCCAAACATGGTGAATTTTACTATTAGAAAAGCCAAAAGTGAATGTAAAAAATCCTTTTATTTTTCCTTTTTCTTTCTGTGGAAGTTCATATTGTGTTTCCCCAACACCTTAAGTTTAATTTTGTCTCATGTATTACACTCTGGACAAGAAATTCATTCTGTGAATTGATGAAACAAAACTACAAGCAAAAGAGAATAAATTTTCATATATGTGTGATCATTAAATCCTTGACCCGAGGGTTCGTAGGAAACAGCCTCTCCGCCTTCACGAAGGTAAAGGTAAAGTTTATGTACACACTATCTTTCTCAAATCTCACTTATAAAATTTTATTGGGTTTGTTGTTGTTATTGTCGGATCATTACAAATAACTATCAAATGTAACTCATATTCTCCTAAGGGTAATTATGCACTTAAATTAGTGAACATAATATGAGGTAAGCACTCAAGTAATCCTTCAAGAAAAGTCCATAATTTTGAAACTTGTCCACTAAAAGAAAGAACAGGAGTGAAATTATTGGTCTCTTTAAGTATCCTAATTTCCCCAAGTAAAAGAAGAAACAAAGATGGCAGAGGTGAAAGTTCATGGTATAATAGCAGGCCCCTTTAACAAAAGAGTTGAATTAGCATTAAAACTGAAGGGTGTCGAATACGAATACATTGAAGAAGATAGGTCTAACAAAAGTGCTCAACTTCTCAAGTACAATCCTGTTTATAAACAAGTCCCTGTGCTTGTCCATAAAAAAGTGCTCACTTTTGTAAGCTCCAAGGTGAACGGTTCAAGCCTCATCAATAGCGTAACATTCTCTTTCCCTTCCCTAATGTAATAAAAAATAAAAAATAAAAATAAGTGAGGCCTCTAGCTGAAATAAAGGGGTGTGTGTGTGTGTGTGATAGAGTAAAATAAAGAATGATATTCCTTGTAATATATGTCATTAGCAATAAAGAATGTGTAATTAGTATTATAAGCATAGAGCTTGAGCAACTAAAATGTGAATTAGGAATCAGCAAAACATCAGCTAGACTTGCCTTAAGTTTTGAAAATATGTTTGGGTACACAATTATAGTTTTGGCTTAGAAGAGCCAATTCGTATGCATGATGACTATATTTTGTACAGTGACGAAAATAATGATTAACAAAAGGTCCTATCAGATGGAGTATTAAAACTTTTTAAAAAAAAAAAAGACTGTATTCCAGAAAATTACATATAAATAGAGAAAAATAGTGTATGTTATTTTGCGTTTTGACGCATTTGCATTAGAGATCAAGAGGAAAAGAACTTCAAGACTCGGCTATAGGTTCAACTCTTTGAAATACATCAAAATAAAACACTTATTGCTTTGACAGAACATACAATAAGTTCTAAAAAACAAGGAAAAAGAAAAGGGAACTATACCTAAAAGGATAAAAACTGTGAAAAAAATAAATTAAAATCATAAGGCAGAGAGACTTCATGGAGGAGCACAATGCTAATTTCCTTGCTGGGGCGATAATCATGATTGAATGGCTGAGGTTATATATCTTCATTAAGCTATTCAACGTTGCATCTCTGTACAATGATTTAACTGCATTTCAAAGAACAAGATCACATTTTGATTTGTTATAATAACAACCAAAAAACATTTATGCTAAAGACGCCAAATAGAAGAGCTTATTCAAAACGCAATCCAAAAAAGTTAAAAGACTTCTGCAATGCTGCACAGTAATTTAACTGCATTACAGAAGGAAAATCACATTTATAAATGATGCATTATACAATTTGTGCGTATGTGTCTGCTTTAGAGGCACAATAAGGTTATTGGAGTGCTCTTTATGTCTAATAAGATATTCCATAATGCATGAATGCCCCTACTCTAGGGAAGTCAGAGAAAGACAGACAGAGCAATCGAGAGGAAAACTTTTTTCCTTTTTTTGATAGTCATGGTGTATGGGTCAGCTTGCGCGCATCTCGACCAACTGCATAGGTTACCTGCTACCTCCTACTAGCAACAGGTATCAGATAACTCTATTCTTCAAGACTTGGACAGAAAGGGAAGAAATCATCTAGTGTTTTTGTCTCCACTAGGATTAGAACTTGAGACCGCAGGTTCTCAACCCACTTCATTGACTTAAAAGAAAGTAGAATCTCAATCACTCAAGTCACTCGCTTGATACTTCCAATTTTTTGGATAGAGTTAAGACCATTTTAGTCCCAGTACATGTTTATGTACAGAGGAAGAGCAATGACGTCGATGCTTTAGTTTAGATTTATCTTTAGCTCATACCATGCGAAGCCTTGCGAAAAATCTACCTCTTAATCTTCTCTCTATTGACACAGTAACTTCTTTAAACATTATAAAAGATGCAGTCAAAATTAGGAATAAAAGTTTTACCTCTATTCTATATATAGATCTACGCAATGGCCTTAGCTTGAAAAATGGTCCTTCAGTTTGGAAGTCACTTTCAAAGTTATATCACCATAAGGTTCATTTTGATTCGCATGTACAAGTCCACAATTCTCCAACACCTGGAATCAATTTCCACAAGACAGTTAGCAAAGATCTGCTGAAATAGTTCCTCAAACAATATATACATATCATACCAAGTATGATGATTGATTAAGCAATAAAGCATATCATATATGCAACTAAAAACAGAATCTTATGCATACACCGTTTTCTTGACTCAATAAAACACCAACAAAGAGTCAAAACATTAATAAATGATATTGGTAGGATATTAGAAGACCTTAAGATACCCAATATTTAGAACTAAACTGCATCCCTAAGTAAGAGCAATTAATCACAGAAATATAATAGAAGACTTACCAGTGTCTCAAAAAACATTCGAGCACATATTGTTCTCTTTTTGCCTTCTAAAATTGCATTTAAGCTGAGATCTCCAGTATCTTCTGAGATGGGGGTTGCTGGTGACTGCCCCTTCAAATATTGAGCCACAGCTCTGCAATCATAGTGGTAAAACTTAAAAGACTGTCTTGCAAAGTAAATCAATATAAGGAAAATAATTTTAATCGAGTGCTACCTTGTTCTGGCAGATAATGTATCAAACTGTGGTGTTCCCCCTTGCTTACTTGACGAGGGAGTTCCTCGAAGTCCTGCTTTAGCATATGGATATACAAGCCTTAGGCATATGTTACATCATAAATAAATAAAAATCCAGTAATATGATGCTGCAGACAGTAGCACATAACATTGATCAACATTATCTAAATTACGACAAACCCTTAAACTTAAAAAGGGAAAAAGAAGTTCTTAGCTCACCAATAGGAGTGTTGTCATCTTGTTCTAGAAAACTTAGATCCTGCATTGGTATTTAGCAACTTATCAGATGCAAAACAGGGAAGAACTAAAGTGAATCGTCATATCGAATCAACAATTTGACCACAGAATCAATGAAGGAGCCAGGAATCCTAACAAGGGGATTCAAAAAAAACGCAAACTTGAAGGGTGAGTAAATACACTTAATTATCAAGGAGATTCAACAATTTGAATATGCCAAAAGTTTGTTTTTACCCTATTTGTATAGTGTAGTTTCTAACGAAGGGGATTCTACTGAACACCCTTCAACACACTTACCTCCGCCACAGCATGGAATGAAAGTGACTGCTAGAACATTCAAATATGAACCATAAGCTTCCACTCACACCAAAGGTAGAAGTCTAACTCTCTTTACAAATCCAAGCCTAAAATAGATTTAAATATGTATTCTGGGGCTAATGAAGTTACTCTAGACGATATTAATCTGCTGAAACAGTTACCCAGATAATGATCAAATTAGATTCATGCTTTCACTATTTTAATAGGGAAGAAAGCATGATCGAACATACCCCAGCAGAATTGTCAAACTCAGGAATATCAGACAGAACGGTATTCTCCACGCCTAGTTCCTCTCCATACCATGTTGAAGGGGTCTCCATATCAGAACCAACATACCCAGTAAATGCTGCTGGGTCGGGCGTAGGGAGCACCTCACTCTCCATCGTTCTTCCCATTTGACTTGATTCTGTCCCAAAAGTTGTAGTAGCAGGAGTGAAATCATCTCTTCTGCTTGTAGAAGGCATGGACATTAGTGGAGAGGAAATGGACTTATTTGGTGAAGGCAAAATTTCAGACAACAAATTGGTGCTTGCAAAGTCTTGGTTATCACGCAGTCTTTCAATTTCCACTGGAAGATCATTCCCAGATGGAGAGGATTGGTTATTGCTGGGTTCTGCATAATCATCCTGTGGGGAAGCCGTCTTGACTTTTGCTGAAATGAAGTCTTCCTTGTAGATATTACAGAGATCATCACATAATCCTACAAAAAATTACAGAAGCTGAGAGTCAGCTGGAGGTCATTCAGACTCATCAAGATAGTAACTATGAGACACCCACCAGTTATTAAAGGCTCAAATAAAATTCCATCGTTTCTTAGTTTATTGTTTTGTTTCCAGATGTCCAGACGAGAAAATGGAGCATTGTTTTTCTGGCGTACTAAATCACTGGTATCTTCTAGATCCCTTCTCATCTTTCTGTAGTGTTGAACATGATACATTGTCAGAAAGACTAATGGTTGAAAACATATATATTAGTATTAACGATGACAGAACATTAACATACTTATTCGACAATACTAATTCCTTATCATATTTGAGTAGCTTTCGCTTTCTTCCCCTTGCTTTTGGCATCTCAGGAGGGGGTGTTGATCGAAGTGCTAAATCAGGTGACTGATGCCCTGAATATCAATGAAAAGGAGTTCCGTATTAGAGTATATATATGACCTATGAGTAATTTCAGTTTAAGAATAAAGACTCCTGCACCCACCAAATGACATTTGTGGATCAGCAAATTCGTGAGCCTCCACTGAAGTGGCAGAAGGTGGTTCTTGCCGTTGTTGAGACAGGATAGAATGCCCCTCAGGGGCCCCCATCTCTTCTACAATTGGGCTTGTAGTTTCCTTCTCTCTCATGATCTGTTCCTCCAGAATTTTATCTGGTTCCATCACATCATTCCCTTGGTCTGACCACAAGGGAACATGATCAAAACTATGATCATGGACAGCATCACGCATGATTTCAATTTCTGGAATATCTTGAGGAATGTCATTACGAACGGTTTCTCTGTTTAGTCCTGACTGAATCTTAGGGGAAGAATTTAGGGATTGAGCAGCAGTTCCTTCTGGATTTGAAGGTTCAGAACTACAGCATCAAAGAAACATCTATTTATAAATCTTGGAAATAAATGGAAACAATCTACATTTACAGTCAATTAGATCCGTACTCTATCTCCATAGGCATGGCACCTGATTTTGACAAACTCTTTGCTATGTCCTGTAAAGAATACTTCAAGTCAGACTGGTATTGCAACTTAAGTGAATAAATCAATATTTCCCTTGCTAATATGAAGCAAAAGATAAGCCCACCTCATCAATGAGAATAGCTATATACTGATCTTCACGCGTTAGAATTTGATCTGTGCAAAAGAGAATTTCAGAACTAAAAATTCAATTGAAAATGAAACAGAAAAAAATATAAAGAAAGAATTAAAGTAAACAACATAATACGTACCTTCCAAAGTTATCTCTTCATAACTTTTAAGATGAGTATCCTCGAACCTGGAAATCAAAATGCACGGGTAACTAACTACAGATTCTAGCTGACAATCAAAAAGGTAAAATGAAAGAATACCTATTCAGGTCAAGATCTTCATCAAAAACTAAGGCATCAAGTTCAAATGTTTCTGGTAAAGTAATGGAGTGGTATGGTGCATGAGTGGCATCTGCCGGCAGATTGACATTTGAAGAAGTAAAGGCCTTAAATAACACAGCTTGTAAGTTTTTGCAGTCATCGGAAAAGTATTCAACTTGCTTTGAGTATATCCGAACAACTCCAAACAGAAGGTGGCCAGACATTCGCAGTGCAATAGGTACATCAGGATACATGATGCGTTCTGGAAATAGATTTCAACAAATAAGCAACAGTATTATTAATCACAGATTTAAAGAAAAAATTTCATATGGATATCAAAGCTACTGCTATATTTTTGTGTAGAGCAACTTATGCCAAACTGCTATACATCTTTTCCAGGGGTTTTAATGAAATCCTGCTTTAATCACAAACTAGCAACATATAAGTGCACGAAAAGCTTTGTATAAGACATCAGTGAGATAAGTGATGATAATAAATTCCAAAAAAAAGAACAAATTTAGCAAGCGGCAAAAAACATAGTAATAATTTATTACTATGACTGCATAGCAGTCAAGCTACTAAGAGGCATCAAGGACTCAAAAAAACAAAGTGCGTTTGGCATATACCAGAACTAAAGCAACATTTGAACCATTAAAATTTTAAGCATACATATGCAGAAGATTTAGTTTCCCAAAGAATATAAATCCACTACATTCTTAAATCGCGATTATTAGATAAAGATTCCAATGAACCTCGTTTTATTTGTTTGACGAAAACAATTGTTCTCTCCTACTTTCCTAGATTTCAAGAGTTGATATAGTTTCTAAGTTCAAGTTCCGATTTTTTATGCTTAGCAATCCTCTTAAAGTAGTTCACACTTTGTCTTAGTAGATTAATTTCTTTTCACAGCTAAAAAACATCCCATTGTGTCCCCTTCCCTTAGTTCAATCATAAGCACATGTGAAAGCATTCACCTTTACTCTTCATAGTCAATTTTACTACACTTAAACATCAAGATCAAAATGCAAATTATCATCTAACCGCCTTTAAAATGAACAATGAATAACTGGCACAACACAGTTGACAATAGACAGTGCATAAGCACAGATTATCCAAGCTTCAACTATCGTGACTAGAAACAGAAACACAAAAGCCTCCACTGAAATAGAGATCAATTCATCTTTGCAAACGATAAAACCTCTATATCACACCAAATCCCAATATTTAATCAAAAGAACCAATCTTTAATCGAAAAGAATAAATCTTTATCTAACAAAAATGTCCCAACTGACATTTAAAAAACAATTGAATAATAAAAGAAGAAGAAAAAGTTCAGCAACAAAAAAAACTCGTCAAATCTGAGAATAAAAAGAGAGAATTCTGCAGCTAGGCAAATAAAAAGGGATAAATTTTCCAGCAAGAAAAATAACATTAGATACATAAAATGGATAAATTTCTCAACTAAAAGAGTAAATCTTTATCTGAAATAAAATTTATAAAAGTCCCAACTGATATCAGCAAAACAAGAATCACATATCAACCACAAGACATTAGGAAAATAGATTTTATTTTTTTTTAAACTCAGGGAAAAGAAAAGCAACCCATCATATCAGTTAAGCAAATAAAAAGGGGGCTAAATTACCAACAGTGGAGGGAATGTGAGTGGAAATATAATGAGGCTTCTTCAACTTTTGCAAGTGTGCTGCGCACCATACTGTCCCTAACGGACCCTTTCGTCCCAAGAATGTGTGCGAATAAAACATTCTTCCTATTAATTAGCAGCCCAAAATTTTAAGGTTCTGATGATTCTCCGCTGACCTAACTTCGCCTCTTCAGTTCTTGATTATAGTAGTATTGTACAGTTGATAGGGTTTTTAAGGTTTCCAAATTTTGTGCGGGAGAAACTGGCGCCAATACAGCAAAAAAATATGACTGGCTGGCTTTGGCTATTTACACTGCTGCCACTAATTAAGGCCAAATGTTGACCTCATTAACCTAAAAATAGCTATTTTTCGGACCGTTAATTTAAAAATAGTTAGTGTTTGCATTGTTATTAAAATATAACCACTATTTTGCTAAAATACATAAAGTTTCAGCATAATATGCGGGATTATGGAGTTCTTGCGTATAAACTTCCAGCATATTATGTTGGAATTCGAGCACATAGAAAGTTCCAGCATGTTACATATGTAAAAAATTTAAACTCCAACATATTATGCGGGAATATTTTTGAATTTTTAAGAGTTTTTTGTTCATATTTTATCGTTACATGAAAAATGACTAAACTTCGATTACTTTTTAAATTGTGGTTATTTTTTAATTACCAGTTGTAAATATGGCTATTTCTGATTCTTTTTTTCCCCTCGTTAACATGCTTTTCTATTTCTCCGTTCAAAAATAATGTCATCCAGTTTGTAGTAGAAATGACATCGGGTAACAATTTTAAAGGGCTTCTATTTAAGAATTAGCCAATACTTCTTAAATTTCAGTCTTTTTAATTCAACTTTTTGAGACAAAAATATCCTGAATTGTCCCAAAGTTAAAAAGTTTTAGTTTAAAATTTTCGGACAAAATAACTACTAGCTAATTTCCTTCATGAAAATGGCTATTTATGCGCTTGCCCCACGTTTGTAACAACATAATTCCTTTCTATTTGGCTCGTGGTACGTAAAGGGGGGGTAGAAAAATATAGGGAAATTTTCATAAAGCACTATCTTTTAGTAGTAATTAGCTATCTATAGATATCATTTGCTATATTACGGATTATAGATACCTTTTATGTGGCTATAAGTTGAATTTGATATATTTAAGCTATTGTATTCATGAATACAATAGTAAAAATAGGCGTGAATCAGGGAAGTCCAGCTAATCAGTTGTTGTATTCGAGTGTATTCGATTGTATTCATAGAGTGAAACATGGGATTACATCTGGACAAATTATTGTATTCAACTGTATTCACGGCGTGAAATAGGGGATTACACTGTTTTTAAAACGGAAGTGAGTCAAATAACATAATAGACTCCTAATATAACTCAACAAACTCAATTATAACACCCAAATTTTGTATTTTCAGTTATAAAAAAGATTCTCAACCGAAAAAATACCCTAAAAACATAGCAATCTTCAGAGAAATTATATAATACATCTGAATACATAAATTATATTAATTAAAAAAAAACTTATGAATACATTCATGGCATATAGCGAGACAGTGAATACGATGAAATACATAGAATACAGCGGGATACATTGCAATACAATGAAAAAAAAAGACAGATAATACAATAAAATATATGGAATACAGCGAGATACATTGAATTACAATGGAAAAAAAGACAATGAATACAATGAAATACATGAAAATACAGCGTAATACATTGAAATTACATTGAAATATATTAAAAGAAATGTTCTTCTTCATCGCGGAAGATAAAGTTGTGGCGTGCATGACACTTGGAATTGCTCAGGATTGATGAAGTTGATTTGATTCCGTCGAAAAGAACTCTAAATTCCCAAATAGAAGAAGCTCGAAATCAACACACTTGGTACCAATACATCCCCTATTGCCACAAACAGTGGCGCCGATAGTACCAACACGACGCCAACATCGCCACCAAGAAATATACAATTTTCAAACATCTCTTCCCCTTCTCCAACATTCCTTTCCCTCCTTAGGCTATTATCGTAATTCCAATTAGTCGGTCTTTTGTCTTCCTTAATTATGTTGCGTTGTCTTTTGCTGAACGATATAGGGAAATTTTCATACTTTGCACAAATCCAGTGGAAGGAAGAGGAGATCGAAAATTTTAATGGGACGGGGGGAAGAGAATGGGACGTATCAAAGTAGAGAGAGAAAGAAAATAGTGTAATTGATTAACGTATTTAGTGGCATAGGGCTAGGAGGTAACCAAAATTAAATATTTTTCTATAAACTTTAAAAGGTATCTATAGAATATAATTTTTTTAAATGGTATTTATTTAAAATAAATAAGATGTTAACCTTTGCAATAGAAAGTAAAAATTCCAAAAATATAAATGATTTTCAAATATTAGACATGTAGATATGAGCCTAGACAAGTCTCAGCACTTGACGAGCCAACTTTTTGCCGGGCCGGGCCACCATTTCAATAGGCCTTAAGATGGTTAGTTTAGCGGGTTTTTTACCTAGCTATACTATAATAGAAATATATTTACTCCTTTTATTTAGGTACCTTATTAATTATTTTATATACCTATATTTACTAGTTTTATACAAAACCTTAAAAAAAGAGGAAATGAAATATACCTTAAATAGTGGGTATCAGTTACACAAAATATCCTATATTTAAGATACCCAAAATCAATACTTACCCAAAATTCCTTCACCGTAAGAAACCCACCCCAAAATTATCACCTCTCTTTGCAATTACCAAATCCCTTCACCGTAAGAGACCCACCCGAAAATCATCACCTCTGTTTGCAATTACCAAATCCCTTCACCGTAAGAGACCCACCCCAAAATCGTGGTCTTGCAAACGATTAAGAATATAACTTGAAGTTTATATCTCAATTTTGAGGGAGATTGGTTAAGTTTAGAGTTGTTTTTAGGTGAAATTTCTTATTGAAACTCGAATAAGAAAAGTTTTTGAATTGTATCACGATTGTATTATAACTGTATCATATTTATTTCATAATTATATCACAATTGTATCAAAGTTGTATTTGATTTGTATCTGATATATCAATACCTAAAATAATACCTAATACGATTATAATACAATATTGTTTCAGAATTTGAGTTTAGAGTTGTGATTGAAACTTGAAGAAGATGAGGAAGATCATAATTGTGTCACGACTGTATCATAATTGTATTTGTATTATAATTGTTGCAGAAATTGTATCACAAATGTATGATAATTGTATATGGTGATGAGCAATTGTAAGTTATGAGCTATTATCCTATTAAACAGCTGAAGCAAAGTTAGTAGCTTCTTGCTGAAGACGTGCAACCATTGAAGAGAGAGAGAAAAGGAGATATGCGTATCGAAAAAATTAGGAAGCATGAAATGAGGAGAAGTGTGAAAAAAAAGAAAGGATATAATTGAATCCCTTAATTAAAGGCATTAATAATGTGATGAGAGATTTTTAAGGGAGGAATATATACAATTTTTAAGAAAAACTTAGATACTTTTTGAAAACTATAAAACCTAGAGAAAATAAATTAATAAGTTACTATGATATGTATAGGAAAAACTCCCTAGTTTAGCCCAGTCCTTCGTGGGCCATGACTCCCCTCAAGGTGGCCCCATCATGTTCTAAAATATTGTTCATATTTATAAAAAAATTATAAGCTCTAACCTAACATGCAAAATAATAATAATAATAATAATAATATTTACAAGTCAAAAAATATCTTACATGTTTTCTCAAAGTAGGAGGATTGACATTTGGCCAATATGTGATCTTTCTTGGGTTATAGTGGAACTTTAATTTTATTCAGCAAAGAGCCATTTCACTTGGCGTCAAATGATCAAAGCTAAAAGTTTTAGATATGTGTTGGACTGAAAGCTTTTGCAAAACTAAAAAACTTTGAGATTTTTTTAATAGATTATAATGAAATACAAAACGAACAATAATATTTTATTTGTTAAAAGTTAAAATTCAAAACAAAATACTAAAAAAAATGGCACTTATAGCATATTTAACACCAACACATCAAGCATGTCTTAATATGCCTGTGACAGGTTATCTTAACATCTTCATTTTCATCTACATCTATAATTTATATACAACATTAATTAGTTAAGTATTAAAAAATCAATAGATTTTAAGAACTAATAATAGTAATTAAATATTTTTTATTGTGTCCACGAGCCGGCCTAGACCAGTCTCATTCAAGTCTCATGGCCGACGAGCTTACTTGGGTCGAGCTAAAAAGGCTTCGTTCTTAGATGCACTCCACAAATCTTAGCTCATCCTAATAAATCACAAGATAAGATGGGCCAGCCTAACGTGCCAAATCCACATTGACGACTCTACTTAATATTGTTGATAGTACGTAATGACTATACCTATAACTAATATAGGCTGAGCTACAACTATTAGGTTGCCCATTACATGTCAATCACGATCATGTAAGACCACAATCTAAAATTTTAAGCAAACTAATTATGAGAAACATAAGACCACGATTTTAAATTTTATAAATTATTGCAAACATTAGACTATAATCAAATGTTTGTGAATAAATTAAAAATTATACGAACAAACGTTAGACTCGAATATAATGTTGTCTGAAAGAGATAAATTTTTTAAGGGTTGTATTTACACAACTTTTAAAATAAAGACAAAATCAAAATAGTAACCTAAAAAGGGACGTTTGCGTAAAGGGATTTTTTCGTATATGTACGGAAATTTTAAACTTATTTATCCGATTTATTTAAGTTTTTTTATTTACATAAAGTAACCAAAAAAATTACAAAATATATACACATTTGGTCAAAAAAATTTCATTTTGTAGTCACAAAACTTAATAGCATTTGCAACCAAAAATGATATAAGGTGCTATCTCTTTAATATTGGAACCTTGAAAAGTGACTTAAGATTCACTTAGTGGCTCATATGTGGCTGACACGTTGGGCTTATCCATTCCCAATCAATGAATTTCATTAGATAATATCCCGCTACCCGGTAATTAATCAATTACCCGCATAATTAAGAATTATTTAAAATTACTTAAAATTCTACTTATTTTTTTTACTACACATTATATATCCTACTATCATGGTCATATGGTACCTTGTATGGTAATAGTTCGTAAATATCGGTTATTAACGCTCGACCCGTATTTTATCCCAATATGCCAAACTTGG